TGCAATTTTCTGACTTCTAAATAAATTGTAAAACAGTAACAGTTGGCCTTATCTTCAGGGTTGTTTTGAAGGCTAAATGGTGTCCTGAATCACTTGGGAATGAGTCCTGTTGCGTACTTGGGATGAGGAGTGAGCCAGGCCCACCAGGCACACAGGACAGTGGTGACTCACCCCTAGAGAAACAGCAGGGTACTGCAGAGGCCAAGAAAAGGAAAAGCAGCTCTAGTGTTAAGCTGAAATTGTCAGAATTTAGGTTTTCACCTTAAAATACTCTGATTTTTCCAGGCCTGGGGGCATACACCTGTAATCCCCACCACTTGGAAGGCTGAGGCAGGAAGACTGCCATGAATTTAAGGCCAGCCTGGACTACGTAGTGAATTTAAGGCCAGCCTGAGCTCTGTAGACACTTTCTCAAAAAAAAAAAAAAAAAAAAAAAAATAGAGGCAACGGGGAGGGAGGTAATCTGCCGCACCACTGTGTGCCTCCCCCATGGGGCTCAGGGTGTGATGAGACTGGCTTTGAAGCAGCTGCCATGATTCAGGCGAGATAAATTGGAAGGACTAGGGAGTGGGGAGGCTGCCAGCCCGGGTGCAGGTGGTGCTAGAGCACATGCTCACGTCTCAGGCCCTGGGTCTCATCCTCAGCCCTGAAGAAGAGGCAAAGCAGGGTGGGGAAGGACAGGAGAAAGCAGGAAATAGCTACTGAGGCAGGCTCTGTGGCCTGCTGTGGCTGGAAGTATGGAGTGAGGTAGGAAAGGGAGCCTTGTGGTTTCTGGCATGTGGCTGTGTGGCTGCTGCAGTAGTGACATTTTCGAGGTCATAACAAGTCAAAGAACAGCTTGGGGATACCTGGCTTTGGACCTAAAAGGCTTCCTCCGAGCTGTCTGTGTGCAGGGGAGGGATGTGCTGGAGCAGGGCCCTGCAGTGCCCATCCCCGTGTTTCAGGGAGCTCGACCCCTGCAGAGGCCAGCTTCATGAGGGAGGGCAGGCGACACAGCCCTGCATTACGGGTGAGTCACCTTGAAGGTCCTGGGGAGTAGGGCTCTGGGCAAGACACTGGCCTGGAACCGGGTAGGAAGGAGCCTGCACATCCAGAATGGGAGACTGGGGTGCACCTACAGATGGGGGTGCAGGGGCTAAGCTAGCATCAGTCCCGGGATGGTGGGCTTGTTCTGAGTGAGGTGCTCTGGCCTGGGGTCCTGAGGAAGTGGTAATGGGAGAGGTCACTTGGGGTGCATAGGGAGTGCATGCAGAAGGAACAAGGAGCATCCGGTACCTCACTGGAGAGAGGAGAAAATGAGATGGAGTAGAAACCAGAGAAGTAGGAAGAAGGCAAGATGGTGTGGGGAAGGAGCACGAGCAGGCAGTTAAGTGGCATTCTCAGATAGTCAGGGAGCGCCAGATGGGGTGGGCTACAGTGCTGCCTGTGGCTCACAGCCTGTAGACGTTGCCCATCTCCCAGAAGCGCCTCCTAATTCTGGCCTTTCTTTTCCCCACATCCTGTCCATTCCCAGAGTGTTCGGATGGGAACCGCATTACAGAGGACCAAGGTGCTGGGTGGTGGCGGCTGAAGGAGAAAGAGGGAGGAACAAAAAAAGCAAATCCCAAATCCCTGTAGGAGGCGGAGGCGCAGGAACACGGGAGCCCCAGGTGCTCTTGTATGAGGAGCACGGATAAGAGCCCGCTCCTGACTCCCGCAGCCACATCTGTTACTCAGTGGAAGCAGAAGCTGTTGACATTCTTCCCATGAGTTTGACCACAGAGCACACTGGGATTGCAGTGGTGAGTGGTTAGAGGAGGAGGAAGTTGAGAGGAAGCAAGGGACCCTCCTTGAGTTTATTGGTGGGCTGTGGGTAGGGATTCTGATTTACTGTCTACAAGGTAGGCACCTACAGGACAATCCAGCTCAATTCCAAGTGGAGCGGCATTAGTATTCTGCAGCAGGGCCGAGAAGCCCATCTCAAGCAGCAGACCAAAGTATCCCCACAAGAGCTGGCCTAGGCCGGGCAGCTGCCCAACCTCAGGGTGCTGTGGTCGCTTTGCCAGCCCTGAACACACACTGTTCTCCAGCAAAGCTCCACCATGGATCGAGTCGTTGCCATAACTGGCTTCTCGTGGACCCTGATGGAGACGATTTGGTACCCTGAACAGGAACCCGTGAGCAGAGCACCCAAGGAGGTGGGCCCGTGCACGTATAGGCGGCAGCTGATCTTGTATGACTTGATACACCTGCTTCTTGCTCTTACAAAACCTTTAACCTGCTCAGGCTATTTTCCCACCCCACTGTCAGCGCCCAGGGCTTAGTCTCCCAGGCTTACTCCCTGGCTCGCCTCCCTACAGTGCCTAAGATGCCCACTTCTGCTGGAACCTCTACACTACACACCCCACCTACACTATCCCCGTTGAATTGTGTGAGAAGTTCGCAGAAACAATCCATTATTTCCTTTGGCTAAAAAGTAATGTTATTGCAAAATGGAGTCGTTCTTTGGAACTTGTCTGCAGCTGTTTGCATGTGGCTATTGAAAGAGGGTGTGGAAGCTTTTATAATTGTTGGGGCCGAGAGGGAGTCTGTTTCTAATCTGGGATGGCTGGCTGACTCATCCCAAGCCTGGCCCTTCAGGCCTCCACAAGCCCAGCCCCATAGGAAAATGGAAAACTGAGCTCTGGTTTCCAGGGCAGCTGGGACCAGGCTCTGTGGAGCAGAAGAAAAATAGAAAAGACAGAAATAAAGGAAATATTCGCAACTCATTTTTATTTCCTCTGATGAGTTAAATGGGAATGAATTCAACTTCCCAAAGGACAGGGGTTTTGGAGGGTCCCTTTTAGAAATGCAGTTCCCTTCTTCACGCCCACCCCTAGGTGGCAGTAAGAGGCAGAGATACTTCCCTGAAAGCAAAGCACTTCTCTCTGGATGGAAACCTTGTTCTTAAACTGGGCCCAAGGATCTGCCCCTACCTCCGCCCTTCAGTTCTGTTTGTCCAGCATTCCTCACATTTCTTTTCCACACCAACTTAGTCACCCATATATGGATTTAAGGAAATTCTCAGCTGGGATTTATAGAGTACTGTGCAGTTAGCTTTCATAGTTAAGAAAGAAAATCTTGGGGTCGGGGGAAGTGGCTCAGTGGAATAAGGGCTTTCCTGGCAAGCGCAAGGGTCTGAGTTCAATCCCTGGTTCCACAAAAAAAAAAAAAAAAGAAGAAAATCTTAAAATTAGGCCTGGTGGTATGCCACTGCCTGTAATTCCAGCCCCAGGAGCTGGGGCAAGGGGATCAAAAGCTCAAGGTCAGCCTAGACAGCTCAGCAAGAATCTCAAAATAAAAATAAAAACTTAAATGCTTTAGAGATCAGTGGTGAAATGCTTGTTAGCATCCACAGGGCCTTGTGTTCAATCCCCAGGGGAAATGTGGTAAGAATAGAATTGCAGCTTAGGGCCTGCGAGATAGCTCAGTGGTCTAAGCCCTGCCTGCCAAGCCCAAGGTCGTGAGTTTGATCCTTAGTACCACAAGCCATGCCAACCCCATGCTGAGCCAGCCACCAAAACTGGTGAGGTGGTTCCCAGCACTGGAAAGGCTGCGACAGGAGGATCACTGTGAGTCTGAGCTGTGTAGCGAGACCCTGTGTCAAGTAAATAAATTTTTTTTTTTTTTTTTTTTTTTTTTTTTTTTGTAAAGAAAGAATTGCAACTTACATATTGAGAAAACTGGTGTCTAGCAGGCAGCTTTCTGCTGAGAGCTGATGTGGACAGAGCTGCCTCAGACAAGACACCCAAGCCGGAACAGCTATAGGAAGCAGCACAACATGCTGCTGGCTACCGACTCCTGAAACCCGAATGAGTGGCTAGGGTTGTGGTTGGGAGCATCCCAGTGCTCGGTACTAAGGGGTTATTGGGTAGGGGATGAAAACCAGGTATAAAAGTAACTAGAGAAGAGCAGCGTGGGTCTAGAGGCTGGATGCAGGTACGCCTCTGCAGGGGGCATCACATCGGGGATGGGGTGATAGGGAGATGCCACCTGGTCTCCTCCTGTCCCACCTCCATGTTCTCACCATGAGACTCCTGCTCCTGAGTGCTTGGGCTGCTCGCTGCTGTGCTGCTTGTGTGGGACATTTGGCTTATGCTGGGCCCATGCCCAGAGACGCTCCGTTTTCTAGGTTAGAGGCCCTGAATAGCAGTGTCCACCTGCTTGTCTTTAGGTCCTCAGTCTTGTTGCTGGCACAAGTAGGCCCATAATGAGGTTTGTTAAAGGCAGTGAAGTGGAGAATGGAGAACAGGACAAATGTGATTATGTCGCAGTGGCACACCATGGCAAGGCTCACCAGGGCAGCGTTTGGGAGCAGGGGTTAGAAGATACTGAGCTCAAGGAGAGGAGGCTGGGATAACAGCTGAAAGGCAGAAGCCTGTGTGACCTTGGAAGAACCAGTCCAGTTCCAGAGCCTGTACTAGGCAGAGCTCCTTCAGTTGAAAGGAAGAGAATCTGGATTAAGCCAGCTTCTGCACAGTTATTTATTGGTTCCATGAGTGGAAAGTCAAGGCAGTGTCTGATCTCAGGTATGGCTCAGAAGTCCACTGGTGTCCCAAGAATCTTAGTGTTTCCTCTGGCTCTTTGTTCTTTGCTCTGAACTGGGGATTGAACTCAGGCCCTTGCGCTTGCCAGGGAAGTGCTTATTCCACTGAGCCATCTCCACGGCCCTCCTCTGGCTCTTTGTTTAGCTATATTCCCAAACTCTCCAACTAGATGTCAGGTAGCATCTGGCTGTGTCATGAAAACTAGAGAGGGTTGCAGAAGTCCAGGGTCTAATGCATTTTCCCCCAGCTGAGCCTGGCATTTGATTGTGACCAGCGAGACTCAAAGCTGGCGGCAGAACAGTCCTGTGAGGGGATGGCCCCAAGAGAGCACGTGTGGATGCGGGACCCAGATTTTAAGTGACCGTTGGAAGCAGAGAAAACTTCCAATGCGATGTTGCTTACCCACACCTCCCTTTGCAATGTTTTTCAGCATCTTCACGATACAGTGAAAAGGAATCTTGACAGCACCACCGCCCCTCAGAATGGCGAGCAACAGAATGGCTATGGAGACCTCTTTCCTGGGCATAAGAAGACCCGCCGGGAGGCCCCTCTGGGTGTGGCCCTGTCTGCCAATGGGCTGCCCCCTGCCTCACCCCTCAGTCAGCCTGACAAGCCTTCCTCAGGAGAGGCCCTGCAGGCTGCTGGGAAGCACTCCCTGGGGCTAGACTCCATCAACAAAAAATGTCTGCCAGACCCTGGCCTCCACCTGAATGGAGGCAGTAATGCTGGTGAGTCCTTTGCTCTAAGCCTGAGTAAGGAACTGAAGCAGGAGCCCGTTGACGACTTGCCGTGCATGATCGCCGGAGCTGGAGGCTCCATCTCACAGAGCAACCTCATGCCCGACCTCAACCTCAACGAGCAGGAGTGGAAGGAGCTCATCGAGGAGCTAAACAGGTCAGTGCCCGACGAAGACATGAAGGACCTGTTTACTGAGGACTTTGAAGAGAAGAAGGACCCAGAGCCTTCCAGTTCCGCTACACAGACCCCCTTGTCCCAAGACATTAATATTAAGACAGAATTCTCTCCAGCAGCCTTTGAGCAGGAGCAGTTAGGCTCTCCACAAGTGAGGGCGGGGTCGGCAGGACAGACCTTCCTGGGACCTCCTCCCACATCTGTGAGCGCCGACTCCCCCAGCCTTGGGGGCTCTCAGACCTTGTTCCACACCTCTGCTCAGCCTGGAGCGGATAACCCCAGTCCAAACCTGATGCCAGCATCAGCCCAGGCCCAGAGTGCACAGCGAGCCCTCACAGGGGTGGTGTTGTCTGGCCAGGGCCCAGGAGGGGTCCCCGAACTTTCCTCTGCCCACCAGCTCCAGCAGATTGCTGCTAAGCAGAAGCGTGACCAGATGCTCCAGAACCCACCCCAGGCTGCCGCAGCACCAGGCCAGGTGTCCACGTGGCAGCAGACAGGGCCCTCCCACAGCCCCTTAGATGTCTCTTATCCAGTAGAGAAGCCTGCCAGCCCTGTTGCCTACAAGCCTGACTTCCCCAGCTCCCAGCTGCTCATGATGCCTGGAGTGAATAAGAGCTCCCCTCGGCCCGGAGGCCCCTTCCTTCAGCCTGGCCATGTGAGCTTGCTGAGTCACCAGCCGCCAAGTAACTTGAGTCAGAACTCCGTGGCTAACCAAGGATCGGTGCTGGACTATGGCAATACCAAACCTCTTTCTCATTATAAAGCAGACTGTGGGCAAAGCGGCCCCGGATCTGGCCAGAGCAAGCCAGCTCTGATGGCCTACCTCCCCCAGCAGCTGCCTCATCTGAATAGCGAGCAAAATCCCTTGTTTCTAATGAAACCAAAGCCAGGAAATATGCCCTTCCGGTCACTGGTTCCACCTGGTCAGGTAAGTGTGTGGTGCCCTTCGCGTTATTCTGCCGCAGACACTAGTAAATTTACTTGCTGAACTGGAAGTAAATTGGGCCAAGATAGTTGTGGAACAGAGGGAAAAATAAACATCTGCCATCTCCTTTGATTTTTTGGGGGGTGAGGACATTAAAGAAATCCAAGTTAATGTTTAATAAAAGTAGGGTATCACTGCCTAGTAGGAGTTGATTTTAACTATATAAACATTAAAGGAAACATCTGCATTTAAACTAGTGTCTCGGCAGGCTAATAAATAGCTCAGCGGATTAAAGCACCTGCTTGGGCAGAGGCTGGGAGTTTGATCCCTGGGCCTGCCCCAGAGTGTGCTGAGACAGTGATTAAGACTGATTGTGGTGGCATGCACCTATAATCCCTGCATTTAGGAGGTTGTAAGCAGGCGGATCATGACAAGTCTGATCTATGTAGTGAAACCCTGTACACCCTGTCCTAAATACAAAAATAATAATAATAATAATTAGTATGTCATGCTACATGATTTAAAGTCATCTGTGCCTGTTTTGGTTTTTTGTTTGTTTGTTTTTTGTTTTTGCAGTGCCAGAGATCGAACTCAAGACCTTGCGCTTGCCAGGCAGGTGCTTTTGCCGCTGAGCTATATCCTGGCCCCCTGTGCCTGTGTTTTTTAATGAGCACATTTAATATATTATTTATTTTGTTGTTGTTTATAGATACAGTCTTGCTACACAGCTCAGACTTAGCTTGTAGTGATTCTCCTGTCTCAACCTCCCCAGTGCACCACCGTGCCCTGTTCTGGAGCCAGTATACCACGCCTGGCTTGTGGTACCAGGGCTTGAACTCTGGACCTTGCACTTGCCAGGCAGGGGCTTAGACTGTCAAGCTATCTCCCCAGTCTCCTAATTAATTTTTTAGACTCTTGGCTTTTTTGCTACAGTGGTGGCAGGCCTGTAGTGACATTTATTAGGAGAATGAAGCAGGATCTGTGAAACATAGTGAGACCCTATCTCAAAAATGAAAATAGGGAGCCGGGGAGATAGCTCAGTAGAATAAGCGCTTGCCTGGCAAGCACAAGGGCCTGAGTTCAATCCCCGGTTCTGCAAAAAAAAAAAAAAAAAAAAAAAAAGATAATTTGGGTGTGATAGCACATTCCATCATCCTAGCACTCCAAGGCAGAGAGGATCACCATGAGTTCAAAGCCAGCCTGAACTATAGAAACTAAGTCTGTCTCAAAAAACAGAACAACAGGGCTGGTGGGATGGCTCAGTGGTCTAAAGCACCTACTTAGAACAAGCTTAGCAAAGCACAGGGACTGCGGTTCAATCCCCCAGCACCACATGCCAGCCAGCCCCGCCCCCTGGTGGGCTGAGCTGGCTGCGAGCGAGCGCGCGCGCACACACACACACATAAAAATTAAAAAATAAAAATAAAAAAACAGAACAACAACAAAAAGAACTGACATTAGACTCTGGGTGTTGTGGCAGACACCTGTAATCCCAGCCCTGGGGGGCTGAAGCAGCAGGATCAGCCTGGGCCACAAAGTGAGCTCAAGGCTAGCCTAAATTGTATAGTGAGACCTTGTCTCCAAAAAAAAAAAGATTCTCATGAGGATTACATATACAGATAATAAGAACTAAAGAGGAGCTCAACAAGTTGAACTTGTGTAATAATTGTTACTGGCCTTTTTCCTATTGTATATTGTCCCCTTCTGAGTGTAAGCAGTGATGCTGAAATAATGCAGCGGCCGTGACTGTCCCTGGAGGGAGCCAAGCTGGTGCTAGGGGTGCGTGTGTGTGTGCTTTCGGGCCTGGGAGGCAGCGCAGGATTTGATCTCTACTCAGCCTGCTGGAGTTGCCTGAAGGCTGAAGCCATGCGCAGAGGGAGCCTCAAGCAAGTTCTGTCCACATCAAATTCACTGGCCTCGGTAGAGCTTAAACATTGCCATCCCACTGACTCCAACTCTCTTCGTCTGTGTTGGCAGGAGCAGAATCCTTCCAGTGTCTCCGTGCCAGCCCAGGCCACCAGTGTCGGGACCCAGCCTTCTGCTGTGTCCGTGGCCACCACGCACAACAGCGCCCCATATCTCAGCAGCCAGCAACAAGCAGCTGTCATGAAGCAGCATCAGTTGCTTTTAGACCAGCAGAAACAGAGGGAGCAGCAACAGAAGCATTTGCAGCAGCAGCAGCAGTTCCTACACAGGCAGCAGCAGCAGCTTCTGGCAGAGCAGGTGAGAAGGGAGCTCAGAGAGGCACACAGGCCCTGCCTGTGGTTCTGCACAGCTTTGTCAGCATGCCCGGAATGGGTGTGTCTTGGCCTGCCTTCCCCTGGTACCATAGATTGGCTCAGTGATCCTATCCCCAGTACCACCAAAAAACAAAGAGGAGAGGCCGGGGAGATAGCTCAGTGGACTAAAGCACCTGCTCAGGCAAGCTTAGACAAGCACAGGGACTGCAGTTCAATCCCTGGCACCACATGCTGCACCAGCCCTGCCTCTAAGGAGGGCTGAGTCAGCCAGAGTCCAGGAGTAGTGGTACATGCCTGTAATCCCAGTGCCGGGGAGGCTGAAAGCAGGAGGATCACCTTGAGTCCGAACTGTGTAATAAGGCTCTACAACAACCAAATAACAAATAAATACAAAGAAGAAGACTGAACCTAGGACGTTGCACTGAGTTATTCCCCTGATCTTTTTGGTTTGGTGGTTTGGTTTGGTTTGATACAGGGCCTCACTATGCAGTCAGACTCAGTGACCCCAGCCCAACCTCCCCAGCACTTGGGATTCCAGGCCGTGCGCCACCATACACAAGCAGCACCAGGGACCGCACTTAGGTCCTTGTGCTTGCTCTCCAGGGAGGCACTTAGGCCACCACACCGTCTCCGCAGCTTTGGTTTGGATTTTTTTTTTTTTTTTTTAATGTATTTTGTACAGGTTCTCACTACACAGGTGGGACTCATGGTGATATTCCTATTTTTCAGCCTCCCAAGCACTGGGATTACAGGCATGCACCACCACACTTTGGTTTTGGATTTTTTAAGAGTGTTTTGCCATGTAGTGCTGGCTGGTCTTGAACTCATTCCATTATGTATCCCAGGCTGGCCTCAGATGTGTAGCTGTCTTCCTGTCTCAGCCTCCTGAATCTGGGATTATAGGAGGGCACTGCCCTGCCCTGCTTTGTTCCTTTAAGAAAAGGTCTTGCTTTGTATTTCAGGCTGGGCTTGAACTCATGCTGACTGTTCTCCTTTGGCCTTCAGTGCTTAGTGCTGGGACTGTAGGCACAGGCTACCACACAGGGCTTTTGGCTCTTTTTCTTAAATTTTATTTGAAGCCTGTCCCTGAGTTGCCCACGCTGGCCTTGAATTCCTGATCCTCGTGTCTTGCTTACACTACTAAGTAGCTGAGGTTCCAAATGTGTACCACTATGCCTGGAATAACCACTTTATAGCCAGCCGCGCCCCTGGTGGGCTGAGCTGGCCACACACACACACACACACACACACACACACACA